CGTCCCTCCTATTCCTCTCACGTGCCTTTCTCTGACCCTGCCCGGACCCTCCTCGCAGGCCTGCCCGGACCCTCCTCGCAGGGCTCTCACACTGGGCTCCGGTTTCTCTCTCACCTCCATCCCAGGCCAGTCCTCCCAGGAGATGGGGCTGGGTGTCGCCTCTGGCTGAGGTCCCTTCTGCTCAGGGCTGGGAGCCAGGGGGGCCCTCATGGGGTCTGTGCACAGGAGAGGGGCCCTGGGCACCAGCTGCTGTTGAGCACACCCCACTTGAAAGGAACCAGGAGTGAAGACAGGTCTCCCTCGCCCCTGTGCTCTGGGGTGATGGTGGAAGACCCACAGCCCTCTGAGTGGGGAGCTCTCTCCCAGCAGGGGGGTCTGTCACCCGCCCTGGGCCCCAAGTGGGGGTGAGAGCCTGCTTCTTCCTTCGCAACCTTGCAGGGCGCCCAGCTTGACTGCGAGGAGCAGCACTACATTTAGGGGCTCCCTTTGCTCTTCCCTGTCGGCCCTGTCACCTCCTCTCTTCCCCACTGCATGAGTGAGGGCTGAGTTTGGCTGGATGTCCCCGCTCTAGGCAGAGCCAGCGAAGGAGGCCCTTGAGCCCTGCTGGCCCTGAGAGGGCTGTGGGCTGAGGTGGGGTCCCAGACCCTGCCCCGTTTTTTGCTGCAAGGGGCTGCGCCCTCTACAGCAGGTCACGAAGCAGCCTGGCCCTGGGAGCGGTTTGTGGGCACTGCTGTGCCCACGCCTGCCCGGCCAATGTGAGCAGGGTCCAGCCCTGGGAGGGATGGCAGAGAGGCGCCCAGGCGGGCTGGCCAGTGGAGGGTGCGCAGGTTGGTACTGAGGGCCTGTGGGGACCCTGGGGGTTGCTGGGTGTTTCTGGGAGGTGCAAGGCTGGCCAGGGACTCTGGGGCTGGCCTGGGACTTCGCTTCTCACCTTCTCAGCAGCTGCCTCAGAACCAGGCAGTCCGCTCGGCGCTCAATAAATCAGACCCCAGTGCCTGATCGCGAGTCCCAGCCTTTCACAGCGTCAGCGGGTTTGGGCTCTAGCATTTCTAAGCCTTCCCCTGGCCTTTAGGATGGGGGCTGAGGCAGACGGGAGGGAGATGAGTGCCCTCTGGGGACCCCTGCCCGTCTGCCCACAGAACGTTTCTGGCTGGGGTCTCTGATCTGGGCACACCGTGGCCACCGCTGTGGTGTCTGATGGTGGGGAAGGGGAGCCTTCATGTCCCTCGAAGCATGCAATGGCTTTGGGTTAAGAAGTGGATGTGACCGGTGAGAAGTCAGGCCTGCCGGCCTAGGCAGACTGAGGCTGGCGCTCAGGGCATGGCGATGTGCCCCAAGTTCTGATCCTCGGCCCAGAGCAGGCTGGGCTAGGCAGGTCCTAGGGCTGTAGCTTCCTCCTCAGCTCCTTTTGCTGGGGGCCCTGCCATAGCAGAAGAGACCGGGTCACTTAGCGAGTGCTGGGTGTGGTGCGGTGGGGAGGAGGAGGAAGGCCTCCGACTGGGCTTGCGGGGTCACGGCCCCCACACCAGCGCACGGGGCCCTCCTCCCCACTACAGGTGAGGAAAACGAGCCCAGGGACCGGCCTGCCTGAGGCCTGCAGGGACCCTTCCCGTGGGACAGTGAGGGTCCTCAGGCGGTGCCCAGAACACTCCTGAGGGAAGAGGCACAGCAGGCCCAGGGCCGATGGCCTCGGGGCTCAGTTCCTGGCACCTGCCCAGTGTGGGCACAGGGTGGGTGGGCACTGAGCCCCCTCGAGCTGCTCCGAAGGAGGTGCAGGAGCAGGGGGGCTGGCTCCGCTCGGGGCTGGCGGGCGGCTGCGCCTGGCGGGGCAGGGAGCACAAAGGTCCTCCGGGCTCCTGTGGGCAGGTGAAGCAGACTCTGCTTAACTCAGGTCCCTTCAGCTCTCTGCGTGGTCAGGGCAAGAGCTTCCAAAGCCTCCTCCGGCCGGGCCTCCCTCCTCTGGCTTCCCTCTGGCAGCACCACCTGCCGCAGGCTGGGGCAGAGCCCTGCCCGGTTCCCCAGCACCCCTCAAGTGGCCCAGGAACTACGGCTGCCCACACCTGCACCCGAGCTGCTGTCCCTGCATCTGCCTGCCCCTCTGTCCCCTTCGCCTGGGAGGTGCTCTCCCCACGTGGTCCTATGTGTGAGTTGGATGGGGCTGTCCTGGGCCACCCCGTCCCCTCCTGCCTGTCCGCACAGGTACCCTCTGGGCAGCAGTTCTGCCTGCCCTTGGCCTCACTGAGTCCTGGGCGCTGCCCGCCTGCCCCAGCAGCACCATGGTCCTGGCTCGTGGCATGGCCTACGTGGCCTCAGCAGCGTGTATGTGCCTGGCTGGCAAGGCCTTGCTGTGGCGGGGGCGGGGGGGGGCCAGGGTTGATGCTGAGGGCTCATCCTGGGTGGGCATTCCGGGAGGGCTGAGGAAGAGGAAGGGATGCCAGCTGAGCTGGGCCGCAGTTGTGAGGAGGGACGGAGGGCTATGTCAGCTCCCGCTTCTCCCTGCCCTCCTGCTCGGGGCCACGGTGGTCGCTAACCTAGAGCTCTCTGCCCATGCCATGGTGCCCACCTGTGCCTAAGGGCAGGGCATGACACAGGGCATCCCGGAAGGGGCACTTGGGCCTGCCCACTGCACCCCTCAGCTCCCACGCTGACCCTGGAGTATCACCACAGCTCTCATGCCAGTCTGCGTCTTGAGCAGGGATGCTGCCCCAGTGTCCTCGCACACCCATACTCGCTGACCCCTGACCAGCACGGTGGCCGTGGGCACCTCCGCTTGTGCTCATCTCCTGCCTGGGCCGCCCCCTGCCACCAATTCTCACACCTCCCTCAGCTTACACGGCACCTCCTCTGAGGAGACCCGGGATGCCCTGGGCAGCCTCAGTCCTGTTCTCCTGGCTCAGAAGTTGCCACCCTGCTGGCTCTGCAGGGCGTGGGCTCTCTTGGGGTGCGGCTGTGTCCATCAGAGGAGCGGCTCCAGGAATGTGCCAATGTGTGAGCAAGTGTGAGCGTGAGTGAGAATAAGCATGAGTGTGAGCGAGTGTGAGTGTGAGCCAGCGGACCCGGGGAACAAGCACAGAACCGGGCCCAGGAGCCTGGCAGCAGAGACCCCTCCTGCCAGTGCCCTCCCTCCACAGGCACCTCTGGCCTGGCTGCTCCTAAGCCCGCCCGGCCCAGCACAGAAGCAGTCCCTGGACCGGCCCTCGCTGCCCTGCCGCCCCCGCCCGCTCACCGCTGCTCCCGTCTGTGCTGCGCTCGATCACGTGGTCCACCTGCCGCACCCACTCCCCGTTGCACTTGAAGAAGACCTGCGTGGCGGGCACGGCCTTGCACACCAGCTCCACCGGCTTGTTCTTGACGATGTACACGTCCTCAGGCTCCAGCAGGAAGTGGGGAAGCAGGTCTGGGTTGGCGCCTGGCACCGGGTTGGCCACCGTGGCACTCTGCTGGGCACCTGCAGGGGGAGGGAGGAGCAGGAGGTGAGCCGGGCCTGCCGGGACGAGCCTGCCCATCAGGGCCAGGGCTGGGGACCAGGAGGCAACTGGCATCGCACAAGCCTGGCTGGGGAGGGGGCCCGGGAGGAGAGTGGGCCCGGGCTCTGCCACGACTCCGTGGGCAGCCTTGGGCTCCTCCACAGCCTCAGTCTCCTCCTGCACAAAGCGGAGAAGCCGCCCAGGTACTTCCACAGACTGTGGTGGACGGCAGGAGCGAGGGCGGAAGCTCCAGGCCCCAGAAGCTCCCCGCAACGGCTGCGGCCCAGGCCTGTGCTACCCCAGAGGAGTCTGGGGCTCTGGCGAGGCCAGCCACCCTGGGAGGCCCAGGGATGAGAGGAGGGAGGTGGCGAGGATGCAGCAGGGCACGTGGCAGCCTGGGGGCCAGCAGGGCCAGATCTCTTGGTTTGGTGCCCAGATGGCGACCCCTCCGCTGCTTCCCAGCGGGCCCCATCCCTGGCCCCACAGAGAGCTGGGAAAACGATGTGGGAGGGCAGGGGCAGGGTGGGGGCCAGAAGAGTCTCTGGAAGCCTGGCGAGCTCTGCCATGCCAGTCTGCATCTTGAGCAGGGACGCTGCCCCAGTGCCCTCGCACACCCACACCCGCTGACCCCGATGGCACGGCGGCCGTGGGCACCTTCGCTGGTGCTCGTCTCCTGCCTGGGCCGCGTTCCACCCTTCAAGGAGACCTGAATGTGGGTTTCCTTCTCATTTTAACCGAAGGCCACAACCATCCCACAAGGCGTGTTGCTAATTACACAGGTAACTGGCTCTGAGGCACCGGGGGGAGGCGAAACCCCCACAGCAGTCTGACCGTCCGCCTGACCAGCAGGACCCGAGGATGCGATAGGACATGTGGGGTGGGGCACCTCAGCTCCTGCTCCTTCACGGACTCCCCCAGGCAGGCCCCAGCCAGCCTGACTTCATCACAGGGCGCGGTGATCCCTGTGAACGCACAACTACGAACAGGGTCTCTCGGCACAGAGGGAAAACTATGGGTTTTCAAGACGCATTTGCCTCCTCATGAGTGGTGACTGTGGGTACCATGTTGTCACATGGTACTCACTGGGTGTGGGGACGAGAAGATGCATGCACGGTGCCTGGGGGCAGGGGCCGGCCACCCACACTCGGCGAGGCCGAGGCTGCTGGGCGCCTGGCCTGAAGGGCAGTGAAGGGAAGGCAGACAGGCCATGGGGCAGCAGCTGTGCCTGGTGGGCTCCGAGTCGTGGGTATAGAGGCACTGCTGACCCCGCGGGCAGCCCGCCAGCGGCAGGCCACCCTGCTCCTGTCCCCGGACCAGTCTGAGTCCCAGGCCGTGGCCTCCCTCCAGGGACAGCCCTTCAGAACCTCGCCCTGCGTGTCCCCGCCTCTCACTCCTAAGTGTCAGGGCGGGTGCGGGCGTGGGGATGAAGGTCGCCCTTGCCAGACCCACCGCGTCCTGAGCCACCTCCAGGCCACGGGCCGGGTCTGTTTTAGGCTCAGGAAGGGGACTGTGGACGAGGGGCGGGGCTATGTGGACACCTCACAGAGGGCGCTGAAGCCCGGGGTGGTCAGCCAGAGCTGTCTCGCCGTCTGGTCCTCACTGTCGCTTGGCGGCCTGTGCTGAGCCTGGAGGGAGCAGGGCTGTGCTGGCACCTCCCTCCTTCGGCCTGGACAGTGAGCAGGAGGGGCGATCTCGGGGGCTGCCCAGAGGGCCCTCGCCTGCAGAATGGGGAGCCGGCGGCCAGTCCCTAGGGCTGCGCGGGGTGGAGGATGGGCCTCAGGGAGACCCTGGTGGCAGGTCCTGGGCTGCCCTGGACACGCCTCCTCATGGGCAGAGGCCCGGTGACAGCCTGGGTCTGCAGTGTGCTCGGGAGCTGGCTGGGGCTCGGGGGAGCTGGGGCTCCCAGCGCGGCCGCCTATCGATCACGCGCCGAGCGCCGCTCACATCAGCCGCCCGCTGAACCCCGCACAGTCCCCCATGTCCGCGTTTAACTGCTAATGAAAAATAAATGGACTGTGACCAACCAGGGGCATAGCTCACTCTCCAGGGCCTCCGTCACGCCAAGCTGGCGCGGCCGCCCCCCGCCCCCAGGGGCACCTGGCAGGTGGCCCCGGGGGGCACCTCCGGGCTGCAGCTTGCCCTCTAGCAAGGACGTGCCAAGGCTGCAGGTGGGGGGCAAGTACGAGCCCTCCGGGAGTCCTCTGGGGGATGCAGGGAGCTGCCCGCAGTCTGCCCTGGCCCCCGACTCCCAGCTGTGACCTCTCCCTTTGGCCAGTGTCCCCCACGGCATGTTCCCAGCGAGACCTCTCACCAGAATCAGGTACATGATCCCAGCTGCCCCCGACCACGGGCCGCCTGAGCCACTGCCCTTTCTCCTACGTGCACCTGCGCTTGTTTGTCAGCGACGACACCAGGCATGGGTGCTCGAGTCAGCGATCTATGGTCCGGTTGGCAGGGCATGAGGGCTCTCTAGTCTGCCACAGTCCCCACCACTCCCTATCGTCACACGCTCTTCTATGTCCATTGTCTGCCTGGCTGCAGTGGCTCTCTCAGGGTGAGGCCAAGCACATCTCTCTGGCATCCCTGTGCCTTCTCTTCTGGAGCGGCCCGCCTCCAGCCCTGCTCTGCAAACACCCACTGACACCCGCAGGGCACCAGCTGCCCATGCTGGGGCTGCCCATGTGCTGCTTTCTGCATTAAATGCCCTTCCTTCCTTGGCCAGCACTTCAGGGCCTGGCGCTAATGTCACCTCATCTGGAAAGGGGCTCCCCGAGCTCGCTCTCCCGCTCTCTGAGCCCAGCCCTCATCCCTGCCATAGCTCTTACACAGGGAAGCAGGCGGCGGCTGTGGCTTCTGTCCTCACCGGACTGTCCCTCCCTGTCCCTGCCGCCCAGCTCGAGGCTGCTCTGTGCGGGCATTTGCCCCTGCAGCCTCAGCGTGGGGTGTCTGTCGATGCTGCCAGGGCACAGGCCCCTTGGTGGCAGGTGACTCCTGGGAGAGCAGGCAGGGCTCGGAACACCTGCTTCACGGCCCCAAAGCCCAATAGTTTCCTGGAGGCTCCTTCCCCCAGCCCCAGCCAGGCTTTCCCGCTGGCACCAGCCTGGCCGCGCTGCCTCCTGGCACTCAGACCTCCTTCACCTACGAGCAGATTCTGGGGGGCTCGGCCACCAGCAGCGGCGGGCGGTGCCGTGTGGACAGCTCAGGCCCTGAGTGCCAACCCCACTCCAGGGAGCTCCAGGGCCAGAGCCCGGCCTGCCTCTCTCAGGAGGGCAGCACCTTCACATCACAGGGTGCCTGGCTGCACCCCTGCTGGGGCCGCCTCGGGCAAGGGTGGGGACAGCTCGTCTCCACCCTACTTCTCAGGGACTGTATATGTGTGTGCGTGTGTGTGCGTGCGTGCTCATGCACAAGTGTGTACACACGTGTGTGCAGAGAGGCTGGGGGAAGGGCAGGCAGCTACAGAGGGAGGGAGGCTGATAAGGACCTGGGGCTGGATGAGGAGGACGAGAGGCAACGAGGAGACCCCTGGGTAAGGGGCCTTGGCTGAAGCCGAGCCCCGGACAGATGCCGCCTTCTCCATGACCTGAAGTGTGTCCCTGCTTTTGACAGACACTGGCTGAGAACCTGCCGTGTGCCAGGAACTGCTCTGAGCCCTGGGCCAGGGCATAACAGGACTGGCAGGCCCCACAATCCCTAGCCCTTCCGGGCCCACGTGCTGCCATGTGCCCAAGTACTGGCCCCATTGCCTGAGCCTCCGGCTGGGAGTCCAACTCAGGACCGAGGCGGCTCTGTCTGCACTGCCTCCCCTGGGGCAGGAGCCCAGGCCTGGCCTGGGTGTCGATGGAGCGTTTGTCACGTGGCTGAGTGACTGCCCTTAGAATGTCAGAACATCTGTCCGGGGGTGGCCCCTTTAGTCTGAGTCTGTGGAAAGACCTCGGGGGTCAGAGGGCCCCCAGGCAGAGTTGTGGGCAGGGAAAGGGCCCTTCCCTTCCAGGATGCTCCCCGCCACACCCCAATATGTTCCTGGGCCCCCTTTCCTCACCTGCAGTCTGGAAGAATAAGACCTGCCTGTGTAACTTGAGGCCCAGGGTGGGTGTGAAAGTGCTTTTGAATGTTTTATTTTTAAAAGCACCACGAAAATATGAGGTGTGATTAATCAAGCTATTAATGAACTCGTATTTACGGTGTGCGACCTCGGTCCCTGGAAGCGGGGTGGGGGTGGGGCTTCGCTCAGCCGGAGAGCTGGGCTCCTCTTCCAGAGCAGCCAGCAGCTGTGGGCTGCCCCACCTCCTCTTCCCATCCTCCAGCAGCCGGAGTGGGGTGGGCACTCCTGCCTGCACCCCACGGGCCACGGTTAAGGAGCGCAGTGGTGCCGGGCGGCAAGCCCCTTCCCTCCGGCCTCCCTGGAAAACGTTCTGGACTTAAGTCGGGCTGGGGTGGGGCAGGGGCTCCTGGCAGCCATCTGGCACGTGTTCCCCTCTCCCCCCAGCGCCTGCGCTCCCAGCCTTGCCTAGGGAACCTCAGAGCAGCCCCCCTGGAGGGTTGCCCTTCGGAGTCCCGGCTCCACAGGTGACACTGGTGCCCAGGCAGGGACACAAGCGTGCCCGGGATAACATGCCACATCCCGGCCGGCTGGCGTTGGGGCTGGGTGCCACCTGGGCTCGCCCCCCGGACTCCGTGCACGTGGCTGTGCGAGGGCTTCCACGCGCTCTGCTCCAGGCTCCCTCCGCTTTCCGGCTGACATGCCTGCTTCCCCTAAGCACGCCTCCTCCCCAGCCTCGCCTCCAAGCCACCCGGTCCAGTGGGCTGACCAGGCTCTGGCCACAGAGGTGGGCGCGTGCCCCTGGCTCCCCAGCAGACACATCATCTGAACGGATGGGGTTCCGGGGCCGTGGCTGGACTAACATAACAGGACAGAATCCCTCTGCCAGCCATGGAGCCGTGGGCAAGGAGCCACCAACGGCAGAGGGCCGGCCCGGCAGGCCGCGTCGCCCAGTGCAGGGGGAGCCATCCGGGGTCTGAACGGGAGCTGGGGAATGGTGACAACCAGGGAGACAGGCCAGCTCCCCTGGGCAGCATCTGCACCTGCTGACTGAAGGTGGGGCTGCCCTGGGCAACAGCCTGTGAGCATGCACGCCGCACTGGTCTGCAGCCAGTGGGAGGGATCCTTCAACCCACGTGCTGCCTGAGTGACTTCCATACATTCTCTTTTTCTTTTTTCTTTCTTTTTTTGGAGAGATTTTGCTATAGGGCGCGTGCGCTTGCCAGCCAGACAGAGAGAGACAGAGAGACAGAAAGCGAGAAATCACCCTTTCGGGGGGATGGCCACGCTGCAATCCCTTCTCCTCCTTCTCCTTTCAGGATCTTGGGCACACACGCACATGCGCCCGGCATGAGTTTAAGCCACCGGGTCCGGGACTCAAACCGTGGTTGATTACATGGGAGTCCAGTGACATAGCTATTATGCTAACTGCTGGTCCCCATGCATTCTTCAAAGCCTGCTCAAAAACTTCCTTCTCCAGGAAGCCTTCCCTGACTCCAGACCAAGCTCACGGCACCTCTGAGCCCCGAGGAGGGCACGTGGACAGCCCCTGACTGACCTTGTCTTGGCACTTCACACCTGTTGTCACCAGTTATGAGCGTCCCCCCAGGCGAACCTCAGCGCCGTGACATCCCAGCCTGGGCCGAGCCTGGCCAGGGTCTGACACAGCTAGTGCCCAGAGACGGGGCACAAAAGCCGAACGTTATTTCCTGGGGTGGGGCCAGAGCCTGGGGACAAAGGGCCGGGGTGAAGGACAACTCGACCTGGCTGAGAACCAGCCCTGCGCACCTGCCGGCTAGCCCTTCTCCTCCCCGGGACAGGACTGGTCTCCCAGTGTTGCTGCTGGCCACCCCTGCCCTGTCTCTGGGGTAAAAAAAAGGCCCAGCAGCAGGGCCAGAGGGGGCTAACGCTGTCGCAGCTCGGCCTGGCTGGCAGACCCGGGGTAGTGGAGTGACCTGCAGCCCCGCAGCTGGTGCCAGGCGGAGACCACTGTGCGTGTCCGTTGTCACTAACCACGGGCAGTTCTGGGGGAGGGGCTTCACTCAGGCTCTGACAGCAGGGCCACGCCCATACTTATCGTCAGAGACAGCGAGATACAGAAACAGAGAGAGAGAGAGACAGAGAGAACACTGAGGGGAGGGGTCAGGTGGGTGGGTAAGCTCCAGCAACTCGGCTGACAGTCCGGCAGTTTCCGTGGACCTGGGGGTGAGTTAAAAGCAGAGGTCCCAGCAGCGATGGCAGCTCAGAGGTGCGACCTGCCTGGAGGGGTGGGGTGGTACGGGACCAGCAGCGAGCTGGGCTGCGTGTCCGGAATTCTTTCAGATCTCAAACCTGAAAAACCTGTTCCCCATCCACCAGCAGCCTCCGGCCTCATCCGGCCATCCTGCCCCTGGCCGTTGTTTCAGAGCCTTGGCCTGCGCCGTGGAATGGGCCACGGGCCACAGAGCTGACTGCACAGGGCGAGTGGGTGAGTGGGCGGGAGTGCCCTCCTGGCCTGGCTTCACGGCCTTCCCTTCCTTCCCATCTGCCTGTGCTCTGGGGGGCTGTCTCCCCACCGTCACCCCCTGGCACCGGACCCCCAGCAGGGCCCGCGTGCTGAGTGAGGACGGGGATGGCAATCTGTCCTGTTTGCGAACATGCAGGAGGCGGAGGTGACTGGGGTGGGGGTGACAACCCTCACGGTGTCCCTTGGAAGGGACACCTGCTCCTCAACCCACGCTCTCCACACACGTACACAGCAGTCCAGTTTCCATGGTAACACACGCGTGAAAAGTGGCACAGATGCATCCGCCCCCTCCCCAAGATTGGAGGAAAGTCACCCTCTTCCCCAGTGGGCTGCTGCAGCCTGGTCACAAGGACAGACAGGCGACACGAGGAGGGCGTGGGGACAGGCTGACCTGCAGAGAACAAAGCGGGGCGGGGCAGGTGAGCACCACC